CTTGAGATTAATCAACCGAAAGGATAACTCCACATGGTCCAATCCCAATTTATACACGGGACTGCGTTATCCCTGTTAGCAGCTGGTCCAACTTCAACCACTTGAATCATGAAAGTCGATCGAGAGTTGCTGTGAAAAAAAAAACCATCAAAATCATGGTCTCCATTGAAAACAGAAACTACGACAACACCCTTCTTGATGGAAGATTCTTTGGTGGCCAAGTGAGATTCTAGCATTCACAGAAAACATGTGTACATAATCTAACCACGTCTCCAATGGATTATGGTGTGGAAGGTCAGCGTCCACGACCAGAAGCTGGACCCACATGCTGCTCTAAAAACAAAGAAGTACGTACTCAATTTCTAGCTCGTGTGAGCCAAGAAGAAGTTAACTGGGGCTGTCCGCTGTGGGATTTGGAGCCATTTTTTTTTATGTTTTTCTTGTCAGTTCACATGATCAGGACTCGAGACTTCTGTAACCGTACCAGCTCTAAAATATCAGGACCCGTTTCCTTCTCACCTCATGGAAAGATTCGCATCGAGGTTTTCTAGATGAATCAGTAATATAATGAATTTAAAATTATATAAATTAATAAATTGTAAATAGAGTTGTTAACGATAATTAAAATAATAAAGTGGGAAGTTGAGCTTGTTAATAATAAACAAAAGACAAAAATACATACAAATATTTAATAAGATATGAAATAGAAAAAAGGGTGTTGACAACGCCATAATTTCCAAAACTAGGTTTTTTAAATTAAAATAAATATCCCAAAGAGTTTGAAATATTAAATTATGAATAAAAGGTATTTATTTAGTCAAAATCCTTATTTTTTATTTATGTTCTCTTTGTTTTTCAGTTTTGGACTAAACATTTTCTTTATAAACAACATGATTTTTAGATATTTAAAACCTAAATTTGAACTTATTTAAACCAAAATAAATTCTAAAAAACCCACATAAATTTCAATAACTCTATTTTCAACCACAAAACAATCTTTAATCAATCTAAAATTAAAAAATCAAACAAAACAGCAATAATACTAAATTTATGAATCCTAATCTACTTTTTTAGTATGTTCATAGGATAAATCCATCTTCATCGAACCCTCATTTCCTAATAAACCTTTATTAATACCAATATGTATCTTATGGGATTGATATGTGGCGAACCCAATTTCTTTCTCATCTTTATTTTTTAATGATTTTATTTTTTTATGTTCAATATTCAAATACTAAAATGTGAAGAAAATTAAGTTTTGGAATCAAAATGTAAAAACCTACAATTACAGGGATTGAAAATGTAAAAATAGAAAACTTTAAAGGTGAAATTGAACTTTTACAAAAAATTAAAGGACTAAATTGAACTTTTTCTCAATATCTATAGACATAGAGGGAAATTAAGTTTTATGACTAAAAATAAACATATAAAACTACAGGGGATGAAATTTTTTTTTTTTTGAAGATTTAGGGATGGGTTTGAACTTTTTATCATTGCACCTATTTTCAAAAATGAGTTATTGTTCCAATTTAATGAAAATTACATAAATACCACTATTCACCATTATTTACAGAAGGATACCCATATTTTAGCTATAATCCTAAATTTTAAAAAGCAATAACGAACACAATTTCACCATATTTTCAACCAAATTTTTAGGAGTCAATGCACAAGATTTAACAATATGTTTAGTCAAATTTCTAGAAGTAAAAGAAACTCCATAAATTTCATAATTTTAGCATAGAAACCTATCAAACCACACAACCCAAATTTCCACCCAAAATTCAAGCCCGCAACATTACCTAATTACAAACTCAATAAAAATCATAGTTGGCAGGTTGTCAAATTTGATCAATAAACACTTACTAATATCATTAACATGTCATCAACTACTATTATATTTTTACCTTGATTCTAGCTCTCTATAGTAGCATTAAAGATTGGTTTGATACCAAACTTATCTTCAAAAATGGTTTTGTCTTTAATTGAAATATTTAGATCAATACTTATTGTGGTTAGTTAAAGGTTGGTTTTTATCTTTTATATTATTTTTATCTGTTTCAATTGGTATCAGCTCAATGATTTATAGTGGTTAGTTTGTATGTTATTGAATAATTATAATGGTTGGAATAAATGGTTGCAAAACAAGATGTGTTTAGGTTGGAGGGGATTAGGAGGTATCCTTTCAAAGAAAAAATGGTTCATGAATTGATAATAAAAAATATGCAGAGATAGATCATATAATTGACCCGGTTGTTGATGGAGGAAATGAGCCTAAAGAGTTGTGATGAGAGTGATTACGAATTTGTAGTCAACTTTGAAAACTCATTTTAGAGATGAGAGCATAGAAGACAACTTCTTGATCGAGATGAGTATCACAAAAATTTATAATTTTGTATAAAAATTTATGAGTTCACAGTTTCTTACAAACATGGAAGTTTATTGATTATTTGAATGAAATTGAGAGGACTTTTGACTACATAGAAGTTCTAGAATAGATAAGGATATAAAGCTAATTACCATCATATTAAAAATGCAAGATTCTATTTGGTGGAAGAACTTGAAAATGTCTTGAGAGAGATAAGAAAAACAAAAGATTAATGACTAAAAGAAGATGAATGAACACTTTTTTCCGTTTAGATAAACTTAAATTTTATAATGAGTATATACTTTAAGAAAATATGGGAGAAATTTTAATGAATGCATTGACAATTTCGACCTAGATGATTGCCAAAAATAAAATGGTTGTTATTACCAGATACCCATGTGAATTGTGGTGGTCCATTAAAAATGTGTTGTTTTTGTGATCCATATTGATATTTTTAGAAGTCTATGAAAGGACTTTGAGTATAGAGAAACATTACATTACTAAGGTAATTAATAGAGGGTTTTTTTTAGTTTAATTGAAACAATAAAAAAATATGCCCCAATCAATAAAAGTCATATAATGAGTCTGAATTAGCAGCTAGACAATCTACAAGTTAGGATTCAAGTTTTGGATTAAAAAAGAAGCATATAGTATTGGCTTTTAAAAAAGATAGGGTTGTTGTTGAAATCAATAATAAAAATATGTTATTTTTAACTAGTTACAAGGAGTGAGAAGAAAAAAAAAGTGTTAATATCTGGAATTATATAAATACCTTTTAAATTATATATAAGCTATTTCAAATCACAAGCCTTGAATTTTTTTTTTCTAACCCAAAAACTATATCGTGATATATTTGACAACCATTTATTACATTTTTTTTATTGTTTTGGTTCAATAAAACAGGAGTTGCACATTTTTTTATAAAATGTTAAGAGATCATAAAAAGCTTATCAAAATATCATTTTTGTTAATATCATCATAATAAAAATATATTTTGCAATTCAATTGTAATATAAAAAACAATGAATTATTTTATGACTTCTTTATTATTCTTAAAGAAAACCATGACCTTCTCATAATATTAAATGGATAAGCTGAATGGAATTTAATAGAGTGATAATTAAAATTTATAATTTAATTAAAAAATAATTTTAAAAAATATATATTAATTGGATGTTAACCTAAACATCACACTCCCTTCTTCTAAGAGTTTTCATAGCATTTTGACATAAATGGATTGTCCTTTATCTTTTGGAAATGGAAAGTGTCAGCGTATAATTGAAGAACACTTACTTCAATTTTCATTTTCTAAATGAAAGCCGAGGAGGAGACTTCGCTAAAGCCTTTATATTGGTTGTTCGAACAGTCACTTTCATCATCCCTTGCTTGAATTGGAGGAAGGCAAGGTTTGCAAGGAAACTTCGATACTGAAAACGACACCACTGGAACCACGACATGTGCCCACTCCAGGAATTTAAGATGTCCTCGTGGAGCAAGGGTGGTCCTCTTACGAGAATAGGCATTTTCATGGGCGACCTCATACCCTACAGCCACTTCGAGTGGGACCTACTACCCCCTGCTGGCTGCTGCTACTCATTCTCGATCAATGTCCTTTCAAGTTTGACAAAAGAGAAAAAGAAAGCAGAGGCAGATTAAATAAAAAAGTTTGCACTTCACGTGCACCCGCGTGCCCATTCACGTGCAACGTTGTTTTCCTGTCTGGGGTCCGTACCTTCTCCCCACCCTAAGCACCGACTGACTGGCGACGTAACAAAATCAGAGCCAATCCAATCCACCCAATCAGGTAAGGATTGCTTGCCAATAAAAACACAGATTACATGCAATAATAATGAGAGCATGCAGCAGCCCCCACCATCAAAGCATTGAGCGGTGCACAAAGCAACACCGCCCATTTCTCTCTCTTTCATTCTTCGATCGCCAAATCTCAAAAATATCCTAAATTAAATCCATGTCTTTTGTTTTGTTTTGTTTTTGTGAAAACTATTTCTGTCTCTTTACTGGGTTCTGAAAGGTCAAAATGACAATCCCCATCCTTCACGTTCTGTCATATCATACACCTTATAGCCATGGAATTTCATGGCTGCTAGAATGGCTATGCGTGAAATATTTATAGAATTGTGGTTCATCCCAGCAAGGCATGTCAATTCTGTCTTGAAGCTCATTTTGCACAAGACATGGCTTGCTGGTCAGTTGAATGTTGGATAATTGAGGGTGTCTCCCATAAGCCAATCCATTGAATCTCCTGTAACGGACCACCGATCTTTCAAAAGTTTTTTAATTTCTTTTTCTTTTTTTCCTTTCTAGAAGGCACTGGGGAAAGATAAAGAGGCTATTACGAACTCTGCTTGTAAGAAGTGCATGTGTAAGCAAATTGACAAGAAAGACTCGCAGGGGCCTCCGAGAGCAACTTATAGTAACATTGTCAAGTTCATTTCTAGCGAAACATGTTCTATGCATGCACTGACATAGACTGTAAACTAGGACTCGCTTTGATTCGTACTCATGCACTGCTATGCTCTATCTTCTCAGAAATGAAAATACTGGAACAGTGAAACATACTTTTACCATGATGGACTGCTTTAACTCATCAGAAGGCAGCTCAAGGAAGAAAGGCATCAAACTATCTAATCTGTTGTTGGCTATTAAATGAATAATCTCACTATTGTTTACTATAAAGCTCAACTGCAACACCGTGGACACGTGACTCGAAATTACACGCTACAAGTTGTTTATTTCTCATGATCCCAGCGCAATTATGAAATGAATGACAGATTCCACAGAATGATGTGCAATTTTGTAACCTGAGAAAAGGTAACGAGCTCAACCTCTAAGAGACTCTATCATAAAACCCTTCAGCCTCTTCCAACACTGGTCTCCGTGCAAAGTCCCCATCTCTTTAGCCATCATGAACATCAACTTAGACCACCCTCATTCAAGCCCTTGCCTACAACATACTTCAACTGGAGCATTTTTTCCCTTGCTGACTGCAATGAATGAATGACAGGAAATGTTCAAATTAGCTTCATAAGCTTTCTTTCAATTATTGACTACAACAAACTGTATTTTTTTTATTTTATTTTTTTGCCTTTTTAACGGGCATAACCCTAAATGCATAAAGGCATAACCTTCAATAGGCCAAAACTTGAGAAATCTCGTAATTATGAACCTTAAAGGTTCAAGCACTAATAGATTAATGGTACATGACAAACACCAGTTCATAAGCTTTTGGATGGGCTGGACGGGCAAGCGCACCCAGGAATGTGAATTCTGTTGCCACCACCTCAAAATTAAATGCCATACCAGCAGATGCGACAAAACAGCCATATCTAACGGGCAAAGGCCGCTGAATATGTAATACAGTTATCATGAAAAATAAACCCAGAATCCAGATCATGAATGTGAATTCTCTTGCCACCACCTCAAAATTAAATGCCATACCAGCAGATGCGACAAAACAGCCATATCTAACGGGCAAAGGCCGCTGAGCATGTAATACAGTTATCATGAAAAATAAACCCAGAATCCAGATGGTAGGAAATGCTGGCAATCATATTTCCTTAAATAGAAGCAGACTTGCCTCGTGTACAGCTGTGATTATTCTTTGTGCATCATCTAGCTGTGTCTTCACTGCTTCTTCCGCTTGCATTAGAAGCTTCTGGTGTGATGCTTCTGCGATATATGGACATAGTCAATGAATAAAAAACTGAGTATTTCAGAGTTTGCATACACGATAGTTGATACATCTCAATCCAACTCTGTTTCTGTTGTTACCAGACTGGGATCCATTAGTGTATCATAGAAAGACTAGGATCAAGCTAAATGGCATTTAGATACTTCCATGTTGTGTCAAAACTGAAGTCATACCCACACAACAAATAAAAGCGTTGCAGATAAAGTAGCTTTATCAATTCAAAATGATAAATCGATATTGTGGGCACCTATTTACTTTCCTGTCGAGGTCCAAAGCGCAAAAGAGATAGTGCATATGACTGTCGTTTATCTTCCACTTACATACCACTACCTAGATGGTCGAACACGTCAATCAAAGAATTGCCCTGAGATGTTCCTATCCCCAAATCATTTGCACCAAATGAAAACTTTGCAAGCCAACAATGAATTTATGTCGGATATACAAGTAACCAAATAAAAACTTTTATGTAATGTTAAAGAAGTCAGTTAAAAAAGTATTAAAGTGGTGATCAACTTGAAACTTGTCACAGACCCAGTACAAGCATCATGACGTCCAAACTCACATGTTTGTATATGTACCTCAGAAGTTAAAAGTATTAATAAAAACCAAGGAATAGTGTGAAAGCAATCAAACACATAGAATACCGTATTTATTAATAAATTTACTCGCGATAACATATGCTGCCATACTTTGCTTTTTCACAGTTCCTTTGAAGTCAATCTGGTGCAATTCTAGTCCTTCAAGAGTGATTTTACAATCCTGGAGATGCTGGTAAATATCTTGTTTGAATTTATCGTGTATCAAATTTAGCTGTTCTTGTTGTTCTGCGCACAGGAAAAAAAAAAATTGTAATTAGAACACCAGCTATTCAAGCTTCAGCAAGAAGAAAAATCTAAGACAAGGAATTGATCCAACATGACAGCTTGACGACCCTTGAAAAGTTAAGGCACAGTGAGACTGGCTAGAACCTTTATTTAAAGAAACATGCTTGCCTGGTATGGATCTGCATGTGTTGCCAAAACCTATATTTATAAACTAACAATTCATATACAGTGATAAGGGGAACTGAGATACAAAAGATTTTATGAGAAACTATACAAAGTCATTAATACAGAAATGAAGAGACGGGTGGTGCTAAGCAAGGTTTGAATACTATTGAAAAGGATTATTGGATATTATAAAATGTGTATTTACACTGCAGAATAGATGGCTAATGGCAGTTCAAAAATGTGTTAGGTCAACCATCACGTAGAAAAAAATACACCATCATATTCAACAATCAAAAGGGAAAGATATGTTTGGCTGCAATGACATTTTGATAAACTAGAATAGCAGTAGATAGTCAAGAAAGTTCATGGAGCCATTCGGTAGCGATAAAATTCATTACCTTCAAATCTAGACTCCAGCCGTTTTCTTTTTGATTTACTAACACTTGACAGCTTACCCCTGAAATATTATCAAGATTAGACCTAATAACTGACTTTCACAATTAGAAAACAATTCATTTCAAAAAACGTACAGATCTGTTTGGATTTGTGACTCAATATTCTGCAACTGTAGATGCATCTTCTCTGAGACAGACATCAAAATATCAGAGGATTTCTTTCTAGTCTCCAACTTCATTTTCTTTCGGAAGTTTTCTAAAGCCATGACAAATAGCAAGATGACCCTGAAACATGATTAAGTCCAAAATCAAGCAAATATTATAACGCAACGGTATTTAATAGTTCGGATCCAAACTAGAAATTTCTCATTTCTGTCTTAAGTATAGAAAGGAATACCTTTCTAGTTCATCCCCTTGGTTTTGTTCTGAAATCTCAGGAGTCAACTCAGTTTCAACAATGCCTAAGAAATTTATTTTACAGAGAGAAAACGAATTAAAAAGGCAGATGATGGCAGTAACTCTGCGGACATGACGCAGCAAGTGTTACTAAGTTATAGGCAGTGCCTGTTGTGGAGAGCGGGTTGGGACTAAATACTCTCACTTTTTCACCTTTGTGGTTGCAGAACCTTTTAGTTGGATGAAGCATGAACTTTGATTTTTCAGCTGTTGCAGTTTCAGTAGAGCAGTTTTCTTCTTCCTTGCGACCTGCCCATCATGATCAAGGGGGTGATAAAAAAAGGAAAAATAATGAAAATAATGTGTGGGAACAACATAAAATGACAGTACTTGGTGAACATTCTATGACAAGTATATAAGAGCAATAAAATAGTCGTTACCCTTAACAAGAGGTGAACCATCTTCGGAGCTCTCAGAGTATCCACATTCAAGAGATGATTCAGAGAGACCACCTTCCACATCTCTTTTCCCCTTAACAGGTAATGTTTTGTTTGGTGGGGAATCCATAAGTTCTGCTGCAATATCCTGAAGTCCGATAAGGAAATGCAAAGGCAAAATGAAACAAAACTTGACCTTAGGCATCAGTAACCTGATAGTAAGCTACCGTATTGAAGTCCTCAAAATACTTAAGGATACAGGTGATTCTGTTTGAATATTTGAGGCAAAACAACCTGCATTTGAATTCCTGAGAGTCCAGAAGCTATGGATTTTTCCGACTGTAAAGCTTCTCATTGCTTGTTCAGGGCTGGCAAAAACCTGCTTTATCTGATCAGATTTTGGCATTGAGCTTGGGAAGGAACTTAAGGTAGGGGAATTGATTTTGAATGTTGGACTCTGGAAATCATCATGTGGGTTGACAGCACTATTTGAGGAGGGAGTGTCAAAGTTTTCTTGTTGATCCCCATGTTCAGGTGCTGCTGGGCTGTTAAAATCCTTCTGTTGATCAGTCACGTCTGTCCAGGGGGACTGGTGGGAATCTTCCCTTCCAGATTGATGGGAATATCGTTCTTGGTTTCTATTCTTCAGTTCGAGGTGCTCTCTCTTGTTCCTAGGAGAACCATGAAAATTTCCCATTTTATTGCTAAGTGAAAATGTTTTCTCAGCAGAGAACGATGCTTCCCTTGCAGATTGATTGGAATCTCTTTCTTTGTTTCCATTCTTTGGTTCACGGCACTCTCTCTTATTCTGAAGAGAACAGTGAATGTTTCCCTTTTTATTGCTAAGAGAAGATGTTTTCTCAGCAGGGAGTGATCTTTCACTCTTGTGAATTCCTTCCTGAATCTTATCTGCATTGTAGTCTTCACTGAGGTGAGTCTTACATGGTTCGATGCCGCAACTCTTTATCTGGCCTTTCTTCATTGTAGACATTGAGGAGCCACCATTGACAGCAACATTTTGTTTTCCAGGCAATATTTCTTCAAAGGAGAAGACATTCTTCTCTTGAAGTTTTTGTCTGTAACTGGAGGATGGACCAACTTTATTTTTCTCTGGTTTCTGTTCAGTTGAAGCTCTCTTTCGGGTCAAAGAACGAGTCACTGGTCTCTTCATAATATGATTGGGACTTTCAGAATCAGTTTCTATGGTATCTGGGCTCTGTCTAGGCTTGACAACCACATCATCTGCTTGGTTAAGAATTTGCTCCGGATTTAAATTATTGGCACCAGTCTGATGAACCTGAGAATTAGATGGCTGATTTGTTGGTGAAGAAGCGTTTCCCAATATCTCCCATAGTTTCATTTTCAAAATTTCAGTTCTCTCTTCCGTTTTATCATCTGTTGCCACTTTATCCACCGTAGAGCCTTCTTGTGCAGTTGCAAATGTAAATTCCTCTCCTGGCTGTGAGTTTCTATCCTCTCTTCCCTTCCTTTTGTATGTGAATCCACCAAACTTCTCCTTTCCATCACCAGAATGTGAATTTGATGTTTGTTCGGCAAAAAACTCTACTGGATGTGTTACAGGCACATTCTTTGCTGTGCTAATCCCGTTCCTCCTCCCAGTAGAGCGTGGTAAGCTGGAAGTTCCTACAGCGTGAAGAACACCCTCAGAAATTGGTGATTTTTGGTGAGAGGATCTTGTAGTAGTCCAAGGGGAAGGGACCCGCCTAGGAGCTTCAGTTTGTTTCCCTTTAGTGGTAGCATCAATGGCACCTTTTCCCTTTTTTTTGCTTTCAACTGAACTTTCTTTCTTAGAATTTACCCTTTCTATATCTGGCACTGCAGCTTCATCTTCCTTCGTGCCTCTGGATCTTTTCTTTGGCAATGAGTCAATCAGAATTCCAATCGAAATCTTTCTAGATTGGCTAGATTGATGATAATTGCTGCCAAAACTGCGACAGTCGCTCATTTGATCCTGAAATGTGCTTTTATAAGGCGTCAAATATCTAATTTTCACGAGACTTCATCAAGTTGCAATGGTTGACATCACAATTCCATTCCCCTGAATATCATTTATGGAGTTAAAAATAATTCAAGGGAAATCCATGACCTAATAAAATTTCACCAAGGTGCACACCACAGAGATCCAAATGAAATCTAGCCATGACCAACGACATGCAGCTGAATATGCCAAGTAATGCAAAATTAAAATATTCATCTCATAAGACTTTATGATAACAAATAATAAAGTGCACTGTAAACATAGACAAAAGGCTTTAGCTAATAAGCAGAAATCATGTTGAAACCCTTTCATTAGCAGTATATCCTAAGAATCACGTATTCAGCACTTACATCTTGTAATTTATGTCCCGTATCAACCTCCATCATGTTGCTTCAGCCAAGCAGGTATGAAATGTATACCACAAGAAATCTGCAGCCAAAATAACAAGAAAATCATTCAAACAGAGAAATAAATTCAGGACCATGAAAAGAAAATCCATAAAGCTAAGTTTAATCCGTGAAAATCAAAAAAATAAATAAGTACTGGAGCAGTAAAATTTATGCAAAATCCACATAATCCTCCACTCAGATCAGCATTTTATTTGATTTGAAAAATAAATACATTACTCCGTACAAGATTGTAAGCTCCGGTTTCCTCGTCAACAAAAGAGGGTGAAAATCAAAAGTGAAAAGAAAACAGTCCAGGAAATTTTCGAAGTGACAAATTCACTTCACTGTTGATACATGCAGATCTAAAACCAACACAAGTTTCGAGGAATGAGCACTTAAGATCAAATATCACTAAACCCTAATAATCTACTATTCAAATTCACTTTAAAATGAAATAAATTACATAATTCAATTTCAAGCGCACGAAACCTCGTAAGAATTAATCACTAAATGTAAACAGACTAAGATAGTGCAATTCGAGAAAAAAAGAAAACAGATATAATTAATCGTGTATTTATAACTCCGTACAGTAAAAGCAGATCATCAAGTTGATATAATTAAAAGAGAAACTGGGAAAGATTGAGCAGGACGGGAGAGCTGGATTTAAGCTTTTGAATTGAAATTTTACTAGGGTAATAAGAGGAGTCGCTTACAGATTATTTGGCGGTGATGATCTCTGGGCTCAATTTTATTTTATTTTTTAAAAACAAGGGAATCGCGGAGAAGGGAGATGTAGTGAAGAGACGGTTTGAGAGAAAATTCTAAATTTTGGTGATTTCGAAATAACTATGTTGCTGGCATGAGGCGGGAAATGAAATGGTGTCTTGATGAATCTTAAACGGCCTGCTCATTCTAGATTGTTTGGGATGCGTATCGCGCACATATGATGGTCAATAGACAATAAAGCCCCTATATAGTGTTCTTATCAAAACAAATCATTATACCTAAACTCATAAAATATTATTTATGTTTTCTGTTTTTTTATTGAATATTATATTATTTAAAAAATATTGCTTTGTAATGTTTTTTTATTTTTTTATTGAATTATATAGTGTCTCATATATTTAATTTTTTTTCAATTTTAATTTACAATATTAGATTTGATAAAAGTAAAATTTCATGATTTTTTTTTATTTGTGAATTTATGAATTTATCCTGATCTTATATTCTTGATTATGAGTTTAATGGTGGATCTATATATTTAGTTTTTTTATTTCAACTTGTAATATTTGATTTGTTAGGAATGATACATCATAAATTTTTTTAATTTTTTCTATTAATTTATCTTGATTTCATTGTTTTCGTGGTAAATTTAATAAATTAACATAGGCCAACTCAAATTATTTTTTTCTTTTTTTACTTGATTTATTTTTCATTTCATCTTTCAATATAGAGTTGGTTGTAAATTTTTTATTTATTTTATATGAGAATATCTCGATCTTATGACTCAATTACCTTTCAACAATTTGTTTTTTTTTTTTCCAGTTCATCTTTCAATACTAAGCTACTTTAGGAATTGTGTTTTGTAATTTTTTTATTTTTTTGAATGATAAAATTAAAAAAATAAACAAGCATAATAAAATTTAAAAAATCAAATAAAAAAATAACTAAAGTCAATATTCCAAATTAGGATAACTCAATAAAAAATAAATTATAAAACCTAATTTTTAATCAATCTAGTGTTCAGGTATTGAATTAAAAAAAAGATTCAATGAAAAAAAAAACATAAAAACAAACTCGAGCCAACTTGGGTTAACCAATAAAACTTATGATTTGAGTCATAATATGAGAATAACTTTATAAAAAGCAAACCAAAACAAATCACAAAATCTAATTTTTAATTAACTCGATTGCGAGTGATAAATTAGAGAAAAAAGACTACGAGGAAAAGGAAAAAAAATCGAAACAACTCATTAAACTTATAGCCCAAATTATAAGATTAAGATAATCTCGTAACAAAGTAAATTGAAAAAAATTTATGAAGTCCAATCTTCAATAAATATGATGTTAAATGATGCAAAAAAAATAAAAATATTATTCTAATGAACTAGATAATTGACTTATTCTATGATGCAAATCAAATTATTTGTTTTTCAACATAAAAAAATGTATTAGCATTGCTAATAGAAAAAAAAAAACAATGTGGAAATTAATCTGATGTAACTCAATCTTTTTGATGAATCTAAAAATAACCTGAATAACTGATAAAAATATAATTTAATTAGAAATTTTAATATGATTTTTTTATGTAAACATTAAGACAACCACTTATTGGATTGATTAGGATCACCCTAAATAAACATGTGAATCTATATATTAAGTCATTAGATTATGAAAATTCTATTAAAATAAATAAAAAAGAATTATAAAATTTATTTTTTAACGAACCCAATGTTAAAAGATGAAACTTAAAAATAAATTAATTAAAAAAAAGATTAAAAGAAATGACATGAATTAACCTGTCAAACTTGTGATCCGGATTATGATAAAATAAATAAAAAAGAATTATAAAATTCATTTTTTAATGAACCCAATGCTAAAAGATAAAACTTAAAAATAAATTAATTAAAAAAAAAGATCAAAAGAAATGACATGAATTAACCTGTTAAACCTGTGATCCGGATTATAAGACTAGAATAACCCAATAAAAAGTAGATCGCAACAAATTATAAAGCCCAGTATTCAATCAACTAAGTGTTAAAAGATGGAATAAAAAAAATCAATTGAAAAAAGGATATAAAAAAATAACTTGGATTGACTAAGGTCAACCCATTTAAATGATAAAATTAAAAAATAATAATAATTATAAATAAAAAAAACTTGAGTCAATTTATTAAATTTGTGATTTTCACTATAAATCTGAAATAACTTTAAATCAATAAAAGTTATGTAACCCCATTAATAATAAATTTAATATTAATGAATAAAATTGAAATTAAAAATAATATAAATAAAAAATATAAAAAATATAATTTAAGGTGATAGTATTATATAAAAAGAGTTATAGGAAAACATGTTTATTTATGTTTGTTAATGATGTCCCGTGAGGAGAAATATAATAATATTTTTTAAAACTTATATGAGTTGTCTGTATCTTGCGGTTTTACATGATAATTTTTTAAAGATAATAGTGCAATATAGCTAAGTAGTAAGAATCAAGAAATTAATAAACTCATCATTATATATAGTGAGTTGAAACAGAGTATTAGGAAGAATAATTATGGTTATTTTTTATTTTAAAAAAAAATATTAAAAATATTTTTTCATTGTTTAAAAATTATTTTTAAAATTAATACATTAAAATAATTTAAAAATAATAAAAATATATTAATTAAAGTTTTTTTCAATTTTTTAATAATTTTAAAATAATAAAAATATATTAATTAATTTTTTTTTCAATTTTTTTAAAATATTTTTGAAACAGGTGAAAAAACGCCAGCAAGGCGGCGGTTCCTTTGCTTGTCAAACAGAGAGTGAACCCGCCATGACTTCTACCTTCACTGACCTCTCTCCTCCGTTCATCAATACCCTCCCTCATTCCTTCCTCTTACTCAAAATTCACCACTCACAGACCCTTTAAACTCCGTTGCTCCCTAGCCAAAGATTCAACTACATCTTCAAGCTCAACGGCGAAGCCCAATCCAGTGCCGGACATTCTGCCACAGCGGATTGTGTCATTGTTGGAGGAGGAATTAGTGGCCTCTGTATCGCATAGGCTCTTGCAACCAAGCACTGGGATGTTGCTCCCAATGTGATTGTCACCGAAGCCAGAGATCGCGTTGGTGGCAACATCACCACCCTTGAAAGAGATGGTTATCTCTGGGAAGATGGCCCCAACAGTTTCCAGCCTTCCGATCCTATGGTCACCACGGTGGTACGTACTTCAATTAACCTCAGTTTTTATTTTATTTTAATCCAGTTGCAGATGATATCTTTCTATAATTTAATGTTTTCTATAATTTGAATTTCAAGAGTTCATTTATTAGTGATTTGGTTGAATTTGTGAGCAGGTGGATAGTGGATTGAGGGAGGATTTGGTATTAGGGGATCCAAATGCGCCGCGTTTTGTATTGTGGAATGGGAAATTAAGACCAGTACCAGGCAAGCCGACTGACTTGCCGTTTTTTGATTTGATGAGTATTGGTGGCAAACTCAGAGCTGGCTTTGGTGCTCTTGGACTTCGGTCTCCGCCACCAGTTTGTTCTCTTTTTAATTTTAAGTAATTGCTATTATATGCACTTGATAAGAATATCAAACGCTAGTGCTATGTTGCATATTTATGTTTTCTTGTCAATGAATCTTCTCGTAATTTTAGACTTTGACAAAGGTGACAGGGACACGAGGAATCAGTTGAAGAGTTTGTGCGGCGTAACCTTGGCGATGAGGTTCTCGAGCGATTGATAGAGCCTTTTTGTTCAGGTGATAATTCGCAGCTTATGTTGTTAACCAATTTGTTATAGCTTGTACTGTAGTGAGCGTTACTGTTCTTTATAACAATACCATGCTCAAACCGGGCACTTTGCTTCAACGTATAATGTAGTTGACGTTAAACATATGCAGCATTTTGTATGCCTGTTATTACTAAGTTTTGCAATAGCCTTTTCTTTTATTTTGTTGTCATCATGTATTTCTTGTATCTGTCCACTTCTATCACAAATGACAATGAAAAATGACAATCTAACATTTTGTCTAATTAGTTAAACTCGATTTTGTAAAATCTCTGATGGCAGTGTCTTTATTCCTATTAGACCATGTAAGACAATCTATTTGTTCATTCTCGTAAATATCGCGTGAAATACTATGGGGTCATCCATCTAGCACCAATGACTATACGTGTTGGCAACTTCCAGCCAGTATTTTGTCACTTAATAGATGAACTAGAACCGTTATACTATGAATTCCTCTAATCTGCATTTTTGCAAAGATCATCTATGCTACATTTTGTTTTGTATCAGATGGAGAGTGGTTTCTAGGTTTACCTAAAACTTTTGCAGTACACAGGTGTTTATGCGGGTGATCCTTCCAAACTAAGCATGAAAGCGGCATTTGGAAAAGTTTGGAGCCTGGAGCAAACTGGCGGTAGTATCTTTGGTGGGACTTTCAAAACAATCCAGGAGAGAAGTAAAAACCCCAAGCCACCTCGAGACCCGTAATAAGATATACTTGGACTGAAGCATTATTTTATTATCTTGTATCTGTTAGTTTATCCTCGGTTTCTTGAACTCCTAGTAACTTTGCAGGCGTCTTCCAACACCAAAGGGCCAAACTGTTGGTCTTTGAGAAAAGGACTTGCTATGTTACCTGATGCAATAGCAACAAGGTGCACCCCACTACTAAATCCTTTTTTCTGAAAAGCAGATGCGTGTTTGAATGATGCTTATCGTTCTTCACAACGACCAAAGTTCCTTAACCATTATTTGATTCACTTGATGCCCTTGTGTTATTGTTTGGAAGTGTTTTTCTTTTTCCTTCTTTCATTTATTTATTTTGCTTTTTGAAGATTTTCAGGTCCTAACTAGCTGTGTGTTGATTTTGGCAGGTTGGGTAGCAATGTAAAATTATCTTGGAAGCTTTCAAGCATCATTAAATTAGAGAATGGAGGGTATAGTTTGACATATGAAACACCAGAAGGATTAGTTTCTCTACTGAGCAAAAGCGTGGTCTTCACTGTTCCATCCCACATTGCAAGCACTCTACTGCATCCCCTTTCTGTATGTTACATTCTTAAAGACTTAAAACCTATTTCAAATTGGTCCCCTTTACTGCTTTTTATTACTGATTTTTCACAAGTGGATTGTGGC